CACGTTTTTTGAAAGTGTATCTAGTGGGCTAGTAACTGGGTCCTATTGATAGCAACTCTTAAACATGTCTCTTCAACTCTGAAGCGTAAACAGAGACAAACGGTCATTGATCTGTGGAGCAGATTCCAAGTCAAGCTGGCCTTTCGCGATCCGACTGGCACGGGTCGGATGCTGCATTTTCGACGCTCCCCAAAACATCACTCTCCGTCACAAATCACGGATGTGATGACAGCATTTCATTGGCGGGGTGAAAGAGAACTTTGCCGGTCGATTGGATGGACTTGCTTCTGCCAGATGAGGAGCTGATGGGCTTTCCAGAGACCCCTTCACTCTTTCAGGATGTAGAGGGGACATATCAACCTGAGCAAGGAAGTGGTCCCTGGATCGACAAGCGGAAATATACACTGGAATTATTGACATGCGCGCACTTAACGGGCCAGCAAAGTTTTTGGAGTGTGTCAAAAACAGCAGTTCCCTAAACGTTCAGAGAAGTAGCGGACCTCTTTGTGCCGCCAGTATGTTTGGATCCACATGACACATGTGAATGCAAGCTTTCACACATGAACTTCAGATCAAAAGTGCACTCGGCTGCTCCCTGACTGGACACACTCTTCACCAATGTCTTAGATTGCAATTGACATCCTAATGAGCCCGAAAAAATCACTGCTCTTGTCCAATAACAACAAATTCCCTTCTCCCATTGAGAAATTCAGCGATTGGACAAATCACAAAATGAGGTGATAGTAAGCACCTAGTTTATATAGTAGGCAGTGTAACTGTAGTATTCATTATATAGTTACCCGTACCCTTGTTATGGGTTTGTGCACTGAAGGGTTTGACAGTTCTTTCTGTATTCAATTTAAATGCACTTTGTAATGTAGTCTGGGGTCAAATGTGACCAAAACGTATGATTTTTTGTTATTTACTTGAAAGTGAAAAATTGGTATTGCTACAGTACTACCTCTTTGTGTTGCATTGGAGCTCTTTAGCTGTTTTTTTTGTATGTGAGGACATTTATTAAGACTGCTATTATTGTATTCAGTAAATGCACTTTGTGATGTGCCTGGTTAAAAAAACATAACCTGAATATTTGACTTCTAAAGCAAACAAATGTAATGCTACAACTGTGCACTTTATTTTCAGATTCTGTTAAATTAATGCTAATTTGTTGTGTTTTTATGCACTTTTTGACGTACCTTTGTTAGATGAACAATGAATAAAAATGGCATGTTTTTCATCGCAGTAATATGTGTTGGTTTAAAATGTGTCACAACCCACTTTTTACAGGCCGCTGAATGTCTGGCCCAGCTGAATTTTGTAGTTATAAAATCTGGCCCAACTGAATGTCTAATTGAATAGCCCTGTATTAAAGGGTGAGTCTTAAACTGAGGCTTGACTTTAAAGCAACCCAACGGAAGTTTCATGTAAGTTTAGTGTTTCACTCGTAGCTCGGGCTGCGGGGGTGCTAGAGACGGGAGTACGTTGATACGACCTTCCTAGCCGGAGATATGGCCGCATTCTACTATAAACTTCATTGGGTCGCTTAAAAACAAATATCGCAAATCGAATCGCAATCGCAATATCTGTCAGAAAAATCACAATTACATTATTTCCCCAAATCGTGAAAGGTTGGTACATTTATCCTTTAGATTGTATTAGATATACTTTATTGATCCCAAATAGGTTAATTGTTTTGTTACAAACAGCATGTCCTCTATTTTGTATACTTCATATGGTGTGGAATATATATTTGACTTTCCCACTGTAACTATGTATGGAAGTCCATTTCCGCCACTTGAAAAACATAAAATCCCCATGAAAAGTCTAAATGAGGTAAAAAGTCATAATAATGAGATAAAGTCATAATTATGAGATAAAAAGTCATGAGATAAAAAGTCATAATTATGAGATAAGAAAGTTGAAATAATGAGATAAAAAGTCATAATAATTAGATAAAAAGTCATAATTATGAGATAAGAAAGTCGAAATAATGAGATAAAAAGTCATAATTATGAGATAAGAAGTGCGCATGCGCTGCAGTGGCGCTGTCTTCAAAGGTCCCTTCATCACCTTGCTGCTCTCCACCATGCAAATGGCATCTAGTCCTAAATAAGGTAACTATTACAGGTGACTTTTGTAAATGTTAGATCTTACATATAGCCTATATTGCAGCTAAACTAGAACAATGCAGTTCATAGCTTTGACATGACCTGTTATGAACTATAATATATATGCCTATAGTTTTGTGGTAACGTTCACGGGCTAGAGTTAGGCTAGCAACTCACAGCAGCAGTATGCTACACTATTGTCATTAGTGGAGTGACAATAGGAGAGAGAATCTTTTTTCCTGAAACTTTCAGAATCTCTTTCCACAGAGGGGACACATATGTTTGTATAAAAGGCATGGAAAAGTGGATTGTGCATAATAGGTGACCTTTAATAGACCAACCTACAAAAGAAAATATGCTATATAAAACTGTACAGATATACTCACTCTGCTCCCCCTCAGTCCCAACGCTAGATTACCATATACAAAAAGAGAGTTAGCTGGAGAGATGGAGAGAGAGCAGAAGGAGCTGGTTTTGCGTCAGTGGGTCACACAGTGGTGGCATGGTTAACTAGTTAATATGATTAAATTTAGCAGAGGAACAAGTCACATAATCAGCCAACATCAAAGTCGCCCCGCGACTGCGAGAGCAAAACGAGTCCTCAGTGCAAACCCAGAGAGTGAGATGAGGGTGAGATGAGCAGACGAGGAAAGCGGTGATGTTTTAAACATAAAACAGAAACAGAATGGCGAGGGGAGGATGAGGCAATAATGAGGCAAGAGAGGGGGAAATATTCTTAGCTTAACCCCGGCAAAGTGAACTACGCTGAAAAGTAGCAGCAGACAGCAAATCTCTGTCCGTTTTCATCAGGGCCACAAATGAATAGCCATTGACAAATACTTATGGTGTCAAGCACGGAAACGAGCTAGCTGACCTTGTGGTTTGACGATCTGCCTCGAGTCTGAGAGTTTGTGAGCTCACTTCTCAAGATGGTTTATAGCACGGCATCAAACGTGTAGAATTGCTTTTAGAGTGGAACGCTGGAGGTGACCTGTGCTCTGCCTCAGAAGTACACACTAAATATAATAAAGACAATGTGTAGCACAAAAAGATAAATGACTACATGTAATGAGTAGTAGAAATGTATAGCATCACAGTGGTGTTTTTTATTATATTGAAAAAAATGTTGCGTACTTCAGGATGCAGCTGTTTGCAGATAGAATTATAGATATTTCTTTAGTTTTGTTTCCATTTATTGCTATGGAATATGACGATGAAATTGCAGTGTAACATGCACTTAATCAAGACCAAACGGACATTTTGTTCTGACCCTAGATCAGTCCAGTGTTAATGAATGATGTGATCAATATCTGTATTTCTTAAGACTAGTATGCAATTGACCAATTTGATTTGGTTGTTGAAGCACTTTCCTGAGGCTTAAATACACAGGCGTATATAATGTGTCAATACACTATATTACATATTGTATATTCAATTTAATTAAAAATGTTTGGAGAAGATTAAAAAAGCAAAATAACATTTAGTCAGTTGATTCTTTGGAGGTGCATCGCTCAAATTGTTTTCATTTACAAGCGTATTTTGAACTCTCAAACAAGGCGACTGAAAGATGTACAGTATACGGAAGCAGCCAATGAGGTGATGATGCTACAGTTAAAAGGTCGGATGGATGTCAGTTGTTGGTCCTGCATCACCAAGTTAGCCTCGTTTCTAGCCTAGCAGTTGTTGATCACTTTGAAGCCACTGCCGGTCGGGTAAGAGAGTGGGCAGTAAGCAATTCTAACATTCTTTTTTGAAAGGTTTTGAAAAGATTATTGGGTTCAATGTACAGTAAAATATGTTTGACTTGTATAGTCTTCAGT